ATCTCGAGCAGTCTTTCTGATCACACGTTTCAGGTATTTACAAACAAGATTTGCCAGCTGAGAACGAAGCGCCTAGAATTGTAGCATTTATCGACGTAGGACATTCCGCTGCACAAGCTGTCCTTGTTGCATATAATAAAGGCAAACTCACTGTAATTTTTTTTTTTTTTTTGAGATTTCTAATCATGATGGTTAGTACATAACCTTCTTCACTACTTGTTACTAAATGAATTGATAATTGTTTAGCCTAAAATTATGCTAAGTACTTCAGTGTTCTACTTTTATTCATCAATGTCAGCACACTCTCATATCATATTCTTTCATCTCGAAAGCATCCAAGCGTATAGATAGGAGTAATGTATATTGAAATATATAAATTAATAATTAATGTAATATCCTTCCTAGGTACTTGGCGCAACATATGATCTCGAAGTTGGTGGCCTCGCTTTTGACGATGTAATACGGGAATACTTCAGCAAATTATTCTATGATACTTATAAGGTTAATTTATCAGGATCTTCATTTGCTTTATGTTTTGAACTATACAAAATTGAGAGTGAAATTATACTTATCAGGTTAAGCTTGAAATATAATTATGTATAATTGAAATATAATTATACATATATATTCATTGTTTGCATCAGTTACTGCCAATATTCAGCATGGTTTAGAATGGAATGAAAAATGACTCCTGTTTCTGCTGTTCTGATCTGTATAAGATTACATCTTCAAACTATTTATTGTTATAAAGTTTTTAAGATCGATGTTGCTAGTAATAAACGGGCATGGTTCCGACTTCTGGACGAATGCGAGAAAATTAAAAAGCAAATGTCAACGAATAGTACATCTATACCACTGAATATTGAATGTTTCATGAATGATATGGATGTCACTGGAAAGATGCAGCGGTAAATAATTTAATTCCTTATCAGGAAGTTTGCATTTTCAGGTTTTGTTCTAGTTCTGTAAAGGTTTTCTTTTTTATGAAATACTTTGTTTCAGTTCGCAGTTTGAAGAGCTCGCACAACCACTTCTAGATCGTGTGCGTGTTTTGCTGGCAAATTTACTAAGTGAATGTGGAAAGAAAGCAGAAGAAGTGGAGTCAGTCGAATTAGTCGGCGGTACATCTCGTATTCCGGCGATCAAAAAGATTACTTCTGAAGTGTTTGGGAAGGAACCGAAAACTACGATGAATCAGGATGAAGCTGTAGCTCGAGGTGCTTTTTTACGAAACATTTCCGAATCACTGTGAACTGACTCCATAAAACGTTATACGAGAGTGATTAAAAGATTTTCTGGTGTTGATTTAAAAATTACATCAGTTATCTTTTTCAAAAAGTTTTTATTTTATAAACGTTGTTTCAAAGTACATTAATTACAGGTGCTGCGATGAAATGTGCTATTCTTTCACCAGCATTTAAAGTTCGAGATTTTTCGGTGAAAGACAGTCAACCATACAGAATCAAACTTTCGTGGGCACGAATTGGGCAAAGTGAGGGAGGGTATGTATAAAATGTATAAGCTGATAATTTCTTCTTTTCTTTCTTGAGCTGAATCATTTGCAGTATATCTTGAAATTGGTTTAATATGTGTGAGAAATTTATTGACAACTTTGGCCAAGTTACTCAGATTCTGCAGTGTTGTAATTATTTTCAGTGAGAATGATGTATTTATTGAGCATGATGAATTTCCTTATTCCAAAATGCTTACGCTCTATCGACAGGAACCATTTCAAGTTGATGCCAGTTACTCATATCCCAATCAAGTTCCACATCCAGCACGACATATAGGTATGTGTAAAATTATAAGAACATTAATTTCTGGTTTACTGATTTTAAAACTTATTAAAATTTGATTTTTCATGGAGTAAGAATGATCGTTTTGGGTAATTTGAAATCGTATGCATGTTTTGTAAGGCTCATGGGTTATCAAAAATGTTGCACCTGGGCCAAATAACGAAGCAAAAAAAGTGAAAGTGAAAGTTCGAATCAATCCTAATGGTATATTTTCGGTTTGCTCTGCGAATACTTTCGAAACCGTCGAAACAAGTCCATCTGATGTAAGTTTTCTAGAAATATTGTTTATGCGTTGTTTCAATATCAAGGTTGATCCTTAGAAAACCTTTTGTTATTTAGACTCAGATTCAAAAAGCACCTGAAGCAATGGAAACTGATGACGCTAAAGGCAATCAGGAAAAAGAAGAAAATACAAATGCATCACCTAATGATGTTGTCCTTCCTGCTGAAGAAGAACAGAAATTACCAAATAGCAGTGCACCGAAAATTAAAACAGTTACAGTGGATTTACCGGTTGAAGAACACGTCCCCTGTATTGTAGCTAATGAACCGCAATTAATACAATTCGAGGTTAGTTTCTTAGTGTGTACGAATTGAATTTTATTTGTCAGAGAAGGAGGATACACAATAAAATGTAACTATATGATACAAATGGTAGAATTTTGACTTAGTCGACTCTAACACAATATAGAGAAAGGAAATGGATAGTTTTATCATACCGGTGTTTATATTTTCTTGTCACACTAAAAAATCATATAGTATAGTAAAAATGTTTTAAAAAGGAACGATGAAAATTTTACGAACCTCTGTCGACAAATATATAGCATAAACTTTAATTCAAAATATTTTCTAATTTTTAAGAAAGAAATGCAAGGAAAAGATCGTGTGGAAAAAGAAAAAGCAGATGCGAAAAATGCTGTTGAAGAATACGTGTATTATATGCGAGACAAATTATCAGATGTATTCGCAGAATTTATCTCTGATGAGGTAGATTTTTGTTAAATCTTTAAATCTTGCAAATTAATGGGATCTACCAATCTTCATCATTACTAACATGAAATGAAATATCGTGAACTTCTAGATCACATATTCATTTGGATATGTGTGAGGTACATATTTTGTTAACTAAACAGAGAAGATTGTGATACGAATGGTTCGAGCTTAAATTACTAAAGTGATATTTCTGGATTTATTTTAGGATGCCGAAAAGTTGCGAGCATTATTAACCAAAACAGAGGACTGGCTCTATGATGAAGGTGAAGATGTTGAAAAGAAGATATACGACGCTAGGATGTGTGAGCTGAAGAAAATGGGTGACCCTGTTCAGGAACGGCATCGTGAATATGAAAATCGAAAGAATGCTTTCGATGAGTTCGATCGAGCTATTATCGTAACTTCTTCGATTTTATGCGTCTAGTTTTTTGAGAGAATAAATTTGGATTTGCAACTATTTTGGAACTGATATGACTATTCCGGTTCGCTGAATTTCGTAAATTCACTTATTTAATGATTTTGAAAGCCAAAAGTTTTAGAGAGCGCGTAAAGCTTACGATGAATATACAAAAGGAAGTGAGAAATATGCGCATCTTGGATCAAGTGATATGGAGAAGGTACATTGTCTTCGTTTTTATTAATTTTCATATCCTGGGGTTCTATCTATTGTGATTCTGTAAAAAAAATTCAGCCTCCTAAAGTTCTGTCGGTAAATGACTTATTTTTTTAGGTAATATCTGCGGTAGAAGAGAAAAAGAAGTGGTTAGATGATCAAAGAAATCGCCAGGAAATGCGCAAGAAAACTGAACCTCCAATCATTTTCGTTTACCAAATACAGGATGAGCAGCAGGTAAAATGAATGAGCTCGAGTTTGGGTTTTTTGGCTTTTGGGTTTGGCAATCTTCATTCCTGTATCGGTTGCATGATGCATGTGGAAATCCTGGAAATATTTGAATAATATATCGATCGGCAAGAAAAAGTTAAAAATTTCGGCTGTGAGACTGTTCTGTCTGGTGTTTTTACTAGTATGTTTTCAGAAATTTGAAAGTATTATTTTACCAATACTGAACAAACCAAAACCATCACCACCAAAAGCGGAACCTGCGAAGGAACCAGAAAAAGGAAGTGATGGTCAAAAGGGCGAAAATCCTGCTTCCGATCATGCACCGAAAACTGATGCTAACAATGTAAATGAGCTCGGAATGGAGGTCGATTGATGGTTTTCGTTTCATTTGTTTGAAATTGTTTGTTATTTGTTTTATGGGCTGGACAGTTTCGTGAATCGTTTTGCTACTTTTAATATTTCAGTGTTATTATAAATATGCAAATCGAATCAGAATGAAAATAGCTTAGTCTCAAATTTTAACTTTAACTCAGTAATTTGACAGGTTTGAGAGTAGTTCTTCCCGTCTCACTTTCCTGTTTTTTAAATTCATCTCCAATTTTTCACTTTCTGTTTGCATTGACTGTTGCAAAATCATAACAATGAATTTCTTTGTGTTTCTTTTTTGCTCTACTCGTATATGTTTTCATTATTTTAACTAGCTTTTTCTAGTGCTTTTTTCCGAGATATCATAAAATTATAATTGGTCAGAATTTCTGCTTTCATTTTTTAATCTTTTTGTAATCTTTAAGAGCTATTCCCTTGAAATAAAGGTGATTTACATGATGTTGCAGTGCAGTACAAATATGTCGCAACAGCTTAGCATGTACTTGACAGTGTAATATTAAGTTCCTTTAGTCGGCAGTCTGGATTGCAGCTTCTCGGGATTCTTTCACTTCCCTCACCTTCAGATAGTTCAGACAATTTTGTTCTATTTAATTTGGTAATATGTTCATTTAAATTACTTTCATCAATTTCTCGGTGGAGTTCTGCAGCTACAGAGCTATCACATGTACACTTTAAATATTTATTGGAGAAACGATCGATGTATATATATATATATATATATATGCATTTTTACATTTAAGTTTAATGCTTAAAGAAATTTTAAGAGAATGGATGAATTATTATAAAAGTAAGATATAAAGAAAGGATGAAATTCGTAATGTGATTTAGGATTTGAGAAATCTAAAAATTCTACATTCCGAGGAGTTTGTGTTTCGTTTTCGTTTTGATTTTTCTTTTTCCATTTAACGTGATTAAAGTACATGTATTGTTACTGCTATTTGTAAAAGCATATTTCGTTAGGATCAAAAGGGATTATAATGTTACAAATTTATTTCATCATTTAATGTAGATACGATAATTTCATTAGTAAGGTCCCGTCGTTGAGGCGTTAAAACTGCTTTCAATTTCTAAAACAAAATATGTGCATTGAACTTTCAGTTTTAATTGCAACAGATGGAACAAACCTATATCACTCAATTGTTCTAAATTTAAAGGAAACTCTAAGTTCTAAGTAATTTTTGCAACCAATTGTTTGTTTGTTGTATTTTGAAACTACAGAAACTAAAAGTTACATCATAATATGCCATTTCAAAGATTTCAATAGTTGCTTCGTTATTTAATTAAGTGAATAATTGAATTTGAATGGATTGATTTAGTAAGGACATACCATAGTGAGTGTGTCACCTTTCTCGGTGTAAAGTTTATAGAAGCCAACGATAAAAATTACTGATATAGTTGAGAGAGAGAATAGTATGCCAAGAATATTAGCTATTTGAGGATAAACAAAATCTTGATACTTTAATGGTTCGTAATTAGCGAAACAACTGATTATTGTACACTAAAATCAAGATGGTAGTATAAATTAATAATTAAAAATTGTTAATTTTTAAATAATTTTACAGAGGAAAACAATTTAACAGTATATATTAGATTTATTTACATTATTCACAATGCAAATTATGAAATTTTTTACCAGTAAGAAAAGTGGCGCACCAATAGTCCAACATAAACGCCAATAATATCCAGGCTCAAAGCCCAGCATTTCTTTTAAATTTTGCACAAAATTATTTATTCCTGAAAATAGTAGACAAAAATGTTTCTTTTTTTTTCTTGCCTTGTCATGAAGATAATCACGATGAATTTTATCATATCATTAGGATGACCAGAATGAGACTTTTGTTTTATCACCATGATACTGGATATGATTATACTATATCACCATTCGGGACCATACAAACCTTTTTAATGTGTTCATTAAGTTAAATAAGAATTATAACCATGATAAATTGTAATAAAAAAATAGAGTAATTACAATTTTTTCTTTAGCCTAAAAAATACTATAATATTGATTAATTCCTTTTTCGAACTAAAGTATTTTTCCCCTTTGATTTAAAATCAATGATTAAAAATTAACAAAAAATGACCATCCATGGTCAAATCAAAATAATTATTAGCAAGTTATTTATGCTGATAGGAGTTTGAAATGTTAAATGCAATGACCATAAATGAATGAGATGACAATTGTTTCACAGAAAACCGCAATTAATAAGCCCCATGAAGTACCGTACACAATTAACCATTCCATAATCAGGATACCACCCTAAATAAAATTATCAATTAATTTCAATTAAATTTGTTATTTGCTAAAAAAATATTATTCAAAAAAAAAAATTTTAAAAAGTAATTGTATTTTGTCAAGATTTCTTTGATAAAACATAAACATATATGTACTAATATATACTAATATATGATATATGATAAGATTAATTATGATAACTAGACAGGTTAATCATCAACAATTATTGATACATGGCAAGAATAATCAGTCTGAAACTAAATTCTTAACAGAAATATAAATTGTAGGTAATAAAAATGAAACAGTAATACAAAAAGAAAAAGAATAATAATTCTATTTTTTTCTCATTTTTTAGTTCAAATAATAATTTCATTCTGAATTTAGATTTCATCAAAGAAGAAAGAAACTAAACTTTTCAATTATTACTTATAATATATTAAATATTAAAATATAAAATATTAAAGGGAACAACCTTAGTACATATAGCAATTCCAATAAACATATAAAATGTAAATAGTATGCCAACAAAATATTCGCGATGACGTTTTAGCAACGGAAATTCATCACTTAATGCAGTAATTATTGCTTCCGAACCACCAAACTAAATTTTTCAATTAATAAATTTATTCATTTATTTTTTTTTGAGTCACTAAATTTCATCAAGTAAATCTTTTTTTTTTCCAATATCAATTTTTATTTTTTGAACATATACTTTTATCAATAAAAGTATTAAAATGTTTACTTTAGATTATCAAAGTTAATTATCATTACTAGAAAGCATTTTAAAAAATGCAAAAGTGAAAGTGCAGTGAAATTACAAATGTGAATAAACACTAAAAATGTGATAAAATTTAATCAATCTGTTTTGCATTCTTTCAAAAATTTGTGCAAAATTATTGGAGTAAGAAAAAATAATAATAGAAGTTAAATGAAATAAATAAATAAATAAATAAAATAATGAAACTTACTGAACTATCTAATCCAAGTGTAAGTAGCATAAGAAAAAAAATGACGGAAAATATTGATGAACCCGGCATTGCTGCTAATGCTTCCGGATAGACAACAAAAACAAGTCCTGGGCCTTCCTGTAAATCATTTATCTTATCATGGAGGAAGAAGAAGTAAAATCAGTTATCTCCAAATGAAATAAATCAGTAAAATTAATTGCAAAATAATTAAATGGGTAGAATTAAATAAATATTATTATTACAAATTAATAACAAAGCCAAATAAAATTCATGAAATAATTTAGAAATAAGTATGATAACTCGAAAAAGATAAGCGAAAATTAATCAATGGTATATGATTAACTGGATAATATGGAAAAGTAATTTTAGTATAAAAATTAGCTTACTTGGGCAACATCTTGTATTGGTTTACCACTTTTACAAGACATATAGCCAAGTACATGAAAATTTAAAAAGTATGTTATTAAAGTTTATTGAACTGCTTGAAATAATTTGAAAATAATTGAAACACTTTAAAATTGATTTGCTTAAAGCATAAGAAATGTGGAAAAAAATAAAAAAGAAAAAATTTACCGAAAAGATGACAAAACCAGAGAGAAAACTTGTTGCGCAATTAATTGCACTTGTTATTAATGCATCACTATAATTTTTTTTTTTTTTAATTGAATTATATTAATTTAATATCAATTGCGATATATTCCACTGTTTTAATTTCAATGTTTTGTAGCAAAAAAAAAGTTGTGAATAAATAATTTAAAGCTTCGTTTTAGCATTCAATGGAAATTATATAGAAATGCGAGAGCAAAATAATTAGTTAATTAAGGATTTGATTTTATTTTCTAGCAACAATTTAATGAAAAAAAGTGAGTTGAAGGCAAAGGTAACATAATTAGTGAATACGAGTTAACTACAGTTTAATTAATTAATTCAATTAAAATAGTTGAATATCACATGAATTGCTGTAAGATTATACATAGTTGTAGTTTGAGTCAAACATTTATTACAAATTATCTAAGCAGATTTCTTTTTTTAAAAAATTGTGTACTAATTTTGATAAATGATAAACATCCTATAGTTTTGTAATTAATTATTACAATCGTATAATTAGTTACAGCAGTAAAATTATTTCTCATAGATTGAAATTTACCGATAAACATTGTTGTGAAATTCATTATATGATGAATAAGCCATTAAAACACCAAATCCTGGTCCCAATGAAAAGAAAACCTGAATTCATTCATTTCTTTCAAAGAGTTTTTCTTTTAATTTCATTTAAAATTAATTACGATAATTTTACTATTATAATAATATTTATATATTTGGCTGCAGTAATAATTATAGTAATGATACATTTATTTATACATGTTTAGGATTAATTCAAAAATGAAAATATAATAAATTATAATGATAATTAAATGTGCTTCACAAGGAGCTCTATTGTTTGCTGCAAATGAATATTTTGTCGTCGAATTCAATTTCAAATAAAATTTTCAGTCTATTAAATGTGATTTAAATTTTGGCGATTCAAATTCAAAAGTTTGAATTAATTTGATGATGAAATTAGTTTGTGATACTTAATTACTGTTTTATTTAAGACTAATTTGCAATGATTGGTAGGTGAATGAATACCTGAGTTGCAGCATCTTGCCAAACACTTGGCACAGTTAGCATTTCAAGATTTGGCTCAATGTAATATTTGATGCCTTTTTCAGCTCCCGGTAGAGTGATACCGCGAATGAACAGTATTAGTAGGACAGCGTATGGAAATATTGCCGTAAACCATACTATCTGTTGCAATCAATATTGCTATTACTGTTATTAGCACAATAAATAAATAAATAAGAAAACAAACGTAAATAGTAAATAAACAAATATATTCATTTCACATTATATATAGTATATAAATTCTCAATTTTTTTTAGAAACTTTATTGAAATTTAAAACAAACCTTTCCACTTGTTTTGATACCTTTCCAAAGAGAAAAATAGCAAATGATATAAACAATTAGAAGGCAAAATACCATTTCCCAATTAAGTGAACCAAGATTGTTCAATGAATGCGCTACAGATGAATTTGGCGCACCGGGCATATGCAACCCAAGAAATTCCTTACTGTAAATAATGTCAGGTATGATTCCTTAGATTTCGTTTTCTCTGTTCACTAATACTGAATGATAATAATATATATCAGTGAAATAATGATAAGAAAGAAATGACTAATAATACTGAAATGAATAGTAATCATTCCAGTAGCCAATGAAGTATGCTAGTAATAAAAATAATAATTATAATGATAATATTAAGAGATGTTATAAAGGTAGTAATAGTGAAAGTATAAAAGTGATGTAAATGATAATCATAATAATAATAGTGATAATTTGGGTTTTTTTATTTTTTGCATTTGAAGAAAATTATTGTTCATAAATCCGGAAACAATTTACTAGAAATATTCCTCAGCAGCAGATATAACACCCATATCAGATATATTTAATGGCTGGGCACATTTGCTGTCCTTGTCATTATTCCAGCTGAAAATGTTAGAGTTGCTGGTGAACTAAGCAATAAAACATTGAAATTGCTAATGAATTACGTACTTAATGAATAATAAAACTATTAATGAGTTGCCTAATAATAGCAATAATAATTTAAATTGTTGACTGATTGTGTAGTGAAGGTTTAGGTTCTGATAAATAAAAATTTGGATTTTAATTAATAAAAACAAGGAAAAAAGGTAATTTCTTTTATGGTTATGAATAAAGTAAAATTTTCAATTTTCAAGAATTTTTATAATAATTTATAACAAAAAAAATTTTTTTTTAAATGATTATTGTGATAATTTTTGTGATATTTGCAATTGATTGTGATAAGCTAATGAATGATAACCTTGGTTCATAACATATAGCACTATTATATTCATGTTCACATGATGCCCATGGCAAATGAGTGGTAAATGATTTCAGGAAAAAATGCAGAGACCAGGCAATAATTACATTATAGAAGAAATCCGTATAAAATGCTATCATTATTACACAATATCCTATTCCTGAAATTTATAAAAATCAATTTCATCTTTTATCATAATCATTTCGCTTATCATTAATTATTTCATTTGTAAATTCTTCTTACCACACAAAATATTTCATCTTAATCAGCATATCATAATTTTTTATCCATTATCACTGATTCCATCATTTATCACAGGCTTTTTTCAGTTCAGTTCGTTATCTTCTCTTATCATTGAAAATTGGATGATTCTCGTCTTATCGTTTATGATTATTTTATTATTTATTTTTTTTCTCTTTATCACTACACTTTATTCAATAATTTATGACTCCCTTATATCACTGAATATATTTTATAATTTATCATTGTCCCTTATATCTTTCTACCGCTTTCCTCATTTAGCCATTCATCAACTTTCTTCACTAAATATTTTAATTAATTAACAATAGCTATTAAATTGAAAAAGTGCCAAAAATTTTTTTCAAAATTTTAGTTCAACAATTAAATTGCCATTCTTTAATTGTTCCATCATCCTCAAACATTGGAGCTTTGAAGGAGAAAAAAAAAAGAAAAAGTTTTTAAAAAAAAAACTTAAAATATTTGAACCTTTAAAAAGTGGACAGATCCAGCCCCAAGTCGTAACTGCTCCCTTTCTGTAATATTGTCCAAGCGATAATTCCATATAAAACAATGGTACACCAGCAAAAAATACCATTAATGTATATGGTATTAAAAAAGCTCCTAAAATAAACCAATTTAGCTAATTTTTGTAATTAATGAACTTTTAAAAAAGATGCATTTCATCAAATTTATTACAAATATTCTTTTTTCTTTTTTTTTCTCAACAATTCATTTTCTAAATAATTTAAAAATAAATGCTTAAATTTGTATTAACTTAAAAACAAATGATCGCTTATGATGATATTAATTAATTTGCATAATTAATTAACAATTTTGTTTTTGCTGAAATAAGCAAACAAACCTCCGCCATTTTTGAAGCACAAATATGGAAAACGCCAAACATTGGCTAAATCAACGGCAAAGCCAATTACAGATAGCAAAAAATCAGCTTTTCGAGTCCAAATTTCTCTACTCTCATCATTTATATTCCAATCATTTCGTATTAATTGCTTATCCTTTTTTATTGCTATCATTTCTTCAAATTTTGTATCATTGCCGTTGTTATCACTATCATCTTTATCATCATCATTTTTATCATTGAATATTAAACGTTGCTTGTTTTCTAAAAATTATTTAAGTTCTTGCAAATCAATAATCAAAAATTTTGATCTTTAAATAAAACATTAATTTTCTGAAAAACAGACACACTGGACTGATTTTATAATTTTATTTTCTTTGTTACATTTTCTTTTTGCATGGATATATTAAATAATAGTAGTTTGATTAGTTAAACTGTAAAAATTTTTTCAAACAAAAGGGTCAAAGTTCGACTAAACACCGCATTTTGTTTCCATCATTCTTGAGGAATGGTAATATTATTTACAAAGCTATCATAATCACTAATATCAGTCGGAAAAAGAATACATTTTGAAATAAGAAATTATGTTAGCTTAATTTTAGGCTTTTCATTTGCATTGGGTATTTGCTATGCTTTTTAGATGTAAAAAAAACCGGAAAAGAAATCCTTAAATTTGAATGATAAACCTGAAAGTATATAAAAAATATTATTTAATGAAGTGGTGAAAATAATATAATTTTATAAAATACATAAAATATATATCCATATCAAAATTTACTTACTTCATTGTTAATAATTAATGGAAAAACGTTTATTTAATTAAATAATTAATTAGCCAAATATGAAACATTTTCAGCAAAATAAAATAAATTTTTACTAATTATAGGTTGCCATAACTGTAAGTTATTATAAATTGAAAATGAAAGTCAATAATTTATAAGAGTAAAGTATTATTTTATATTATATAACAACCTAGAATTAGTAAAAAAAAAATAAAAATAAAAAAAAATAGAATTAATTAAAAAAAAGATTTATTTTTCTAATTAATAAAAAAGAAAAATAAAAAAAAATTGCTTTTCTTTTTTCTTACATATTTCATTCATAACTTTTGTGTAAAAATTTCAAAATTGAAACAAACTTACTTTTAATATTACGAACCAATTCTTCGCCCATATAAATAAATGTATATAATATATTCAACAATAATAATGTAAAGAAAATTAAAAAAGAAATATTTACGAATAAAATAGTTCTTACTAATATTTATATATGTGAAAATTTTGCATAAAAATAAATAATACTTCTAAGAAACAAAAAAAAAAAAAAAAATGAAAAAATGAAAAACCTTAAAAGTTTAATAACCGGAAGATTATTATACACATATGCGCATGTATACGCATAAATGTTTTTAGAGCAATCTTAACCAAAAGAGAAATTTCTTCGTTTTTTTTTTTTTTTTTAAATTGATGCTAAAGAAATATGAAATAAATTACCATTCATCTATAATTTTCGTTTTATTTATTTATTTTTTATTATTATTATTTTTTTTTTTTGCATTTCCTTTTAACAAATTATTCTAAAATAACAATTTTGTCATCATTTGTAATATTTTTCAAATTCATTCATCCAAAATTTCGCTTTTCTTTTCATTTTGTTTTTTCTTTTCTTTTTACAAATTTTTTGTTGGATAAAAGAAAACAAAAAGGAAAGAGAAAAAGAGAAAAAAAATGTACTGTTCTTTAATCGTTTTTTTTTTTTAATTAAAATAATTTTTTAATTTTATTGCAAATTATTTTTACACTTTTTAATTTTATTGCAAATTATTTTTACATTTTATTGCAAATTATTTTTACATTTTTACACCATTTTTACACCTCTTTTCTTTTTTTTCATTTTCCAGAAGAAAAAAAGCAATTTTTTCACACTTTAAGTGTTTTTTGCCGTTTTTTCTTTTCTTTCCTTTTTTTAAAAAGAAAATCTAAAATTAATTATCCTTGAAATCAGTTATAGCTTTTAACAATATATTTGAATTCTATAATAAAAAAAAAAAATATTTGCAAAATATTTTCGGAACTAATTATTTTGCATAAAAACATATTTGGATTTTATAGACAAGTTGAAAAAAACCTATGAATGATTTGATAATATTAATTGCAAATAGAAAACTTAGCTGATTCATTCCTGAAATTTATGTTGTGCTTTATGTCATACTTTGTACAGTTTATGTTTAAACATTTAAAACATTTATAAATAACGGATCACTGATTTTTTTCTTTTGAACAAAGCCGCCACATATCAAATGAGATAGAAACAATTGCGCTTCTTGTAAATTGCCATCGTTATCAGTGAAAAATTAGGAACCGTGATAATTGGCACATTTTTGCTGATAAGTAATAAATTCGTTTCGTTCCTTTGGCATAGAAACATGCGCACTTCGAAGTATGACTCATTCAGAATAATTTACGTTTGGTCACTCAGAGACCATTTTCTTTGATTGCACTCAATTGGTCATTGTCCATTTCCAATGAATAAAATATTCAGTTTAAAGTTATCGAATAACTGTTGTGTCCTTCATTCATTAGCCATTCTCGAGCTACGTGTATTTTCGGCTAGTCGTAATTTGCTTTCTGCGCCACTTTAATATCCAACTAAAACAAGAGAAGTTTTAATTTAATTATTATTGGATATGATTTTCTCAGTCTGAGATATTTATAAAGTAATTAAAAGCTATTAAATCAGTGAAATAAACATTAAATAGAATATAAATACTATAAGTTTTAAATTATAATAATCCAATTAAATAGAAAATACTAAGTTTAAATTATAATAAAAATGATAACTCTTCCACAAGTCTCAAGTATTTCTCAATAAAATTAATTGAAGTAATGTGTTTAAATGGTTTACGAAGTAAATAGTATGGAAGTATGAATATATTTAAGAAGTATGAATATTAATATATTTAAGACTTTCATGCCATAAATTTGAAATTTAAGCAAATTAAAATTTAAACGAGCGAATATTTAAATAAACATAAATTTGACAAAGAATTAATAGGGAAAGTATTCAGATAGATAAATACTTAAATATATTCATAAATTTGAAATAATATTTGAATTACAAAAATAAGATACATATGCTGCAGATTATGCTTTAAACTCCGAAAATCTGAACTAAACTTTAAAATATATATACGATAACGAATAGAAAATTATTTCATTTAAATTCTAAATCTTATTTTGTTGCAAAGCTAAAAATTTTTCCAGCAATTATAAAATTGCATAAAAATTATTATAAACATTTTTGTTTGGACAGTCATATTTATCCAAGAATTTTTTTTTCCATCAGTAATTCAAATTCACGTTTTTTTAAATGCTAATTTATTTAAATCAATTAATTAAATAACCCATACGAGAATAACGAAAAATTTTTTTATTTATCTTTTTGTATGTGTGTGGTTTTTTTTGTCTCTTTCAAATGAAAATGATAGCAACTGCAGTTAGAAATTTGTTTATTTCGGAAATATTGACAAATAAATATTTCTATTATTTCAGTCTCCTTCACCACTTGATAAGGTAATGTCAGGGTTATCAGCTGATAAGTTTTTCAATTCGTCATAAATTTTTGCAAATGATGGCCGATCGATGGGATTTTTAGCCCAACATTTACTAACAAGTGTTGCTACTGCTGGTGGTGTACTCTACAAATATTAGTTTGTATCAGTTTTAACATCAAAAAGTTAAAAAGAATTAAAATAACTTTTCTTTATTTAATCGACAAATATTTCACTTATTTTAGTTAATTACTCAGCTACAAATTCTATTTGATCAAATTCGTCAGTCAAATTTTAAAGTATTTACTTACATTATTACTTACATTACTTATATATTTACTTACTTTTGAAATATTTTCTTAATTACATTACATATATCTATATCACTTACATTCATTACATTACTTACATTACATAACTTACTCATATAGTGCATGTAGTCACATCACTTATTTGTAAAGTATTATTACAATATCATAAATCTAATTTGTTCTAAATGAAACTGTAATCTTAAAATTAAGCAATTCAAAAATCAAAATAATGAACAAATGATTAAATTTTATCAAACAATATTTCACTTTTTTTCTTTGTTTTACCAATAAAAAAGTGAAAAATTATCAAATAAAATGTCAAGTAAACAGCTGAAATATACCATTATTATTTTTTTGCTCAATTGATTAAATCAATTAACTTAAACAGTTTAATGGACAATTTAATGACTTTATAAATTAATAGTATGATTATACCAAATTAATACGTCTAAATGCTTATGAACCAATTAAGAATTAAGCAAATTTGAAATATATTGATTAAGTTAAACAATTTAATGAATAATACTTGAGGCATATCCATACGATAATTCTGAATGATAATTTTGGCTCTAGTCTGTATATTTGATAGTGATGGATATGGCTCATAACCTTCCGAATACACTTCCCAAACATGTAAATTAAATTTATTTCAATAAAAATTACATATTAGCTTATAAGTTGCAAAAAGTTTAATAAATGATAAAGCTTAGCTATTTTTAGTTCAAATTGTTCTTTTCTTTCATAATTATTTTCCTTCAAATTTTAGTTAGCTAATGCAATTTACTTTCTATCTTTATTTCAGTCAAAAAAAAAAAAAAAAAAACTGCAATTAGAACATTTCTTCATATTTTGGTTTTGATTTCATTTTGAAACTATTTGTAACTTTAACACAAAATACATATGTGGAAATTAAATAAACCTAAAAGTATCACAAAAAACCCAAAAAAAAAAGAAACAATTTAAAATTAACTTTAATTTGGTTGAATTAAATTTTAAAACAAAAAAAGTTCATTTCAAAAATTTTTTACAATCATGCCATTTGTTTTATGAAATATTTATAAAATAACTTTCATATTTATTTGCTTTTTTTCATTAACAATATTAATTATTATCAAATTTCAATATTTATATTGATGGCAGGAAAAAAGAAAACTGCTTAATTAATTAATTAATTAATTAGAGGAAGCTACCATTAAGTTTACATTAGCAAATGCCTACCATTATGCCATAAGACCATACATCGGTTTTAGTTGAATAAATTCGATTTTGCATTGTTTCTGGCGCAAGCCATTTAATTGGTACCTGTAATTATTTCAATTTGAATTAGTAAAAATTTTTCTGAAAGATTTGGAAGAAAATAACAAATTTAGTTGTAATAATTTATGGATACATTTTTGCTCTCTAATCAACTTTAAATCTGTGAAATTTCAAAAATAATTTGAACCTTTCTTTGGCAAATTGAAATCCATTCTAACAATGATTACACGATTACCATCAAAAAAACTAATTATGATCAAAAACCAAAAACAATTCTATCATTATTACTTAATTATTAAATTCCAGTTAAATAAAATTACAAGATGTTTGCAATTAGTTGTAATATATAAGTGTATTTGAAATTGTATGATACTGTAATTACTTTTGTGATGCATCTACTAAAAATATTCTTTCAAAGCCTTTTTTAAATTCAAAAAAAAAACTATTGCAATGATGAAACAAAGCAAATAATACTTGAAATTAATAATAGTATTGAAAAATTTTTTAAATAATCAAAGTAAATGAAGAAAATTTGTTATACTTTGTCAAGGCTTTTATCCTGAATTGGCGTTTTCTCATCCGACATACCAAAATCACTTAATTTAATATGAAAATTTCGTGTTAGTAAGCAATTTCGTGCTGCTATGTCTCTAAAAAAGCAAAAGAAAAAATAAAATTTTTAAGCAATTAATATGCTTTTTTTGTATTGGTATGACTAATATGTAATAAAGTGTCAATTAATTATTTGAATAAAAAAAAAAAAACAAGAATTGATTCAATTATTTGATTTAAAAATGAACTGAAAACTTTTTTACTCCAATAGCTATTTAATTAATAGCAGTACTGAAAGAATGAAATAAGTTAATTAACTAAGTTTTTATTACAAAAAAAAAAAAAAAAAGAAAAACCTATGAATGCAATTCTTTTGCTCAAGATATTTTAAGCCTGAAGCAGTTTCAGTTATAAATCGCATTTTTAATTGTGGTACAATCATTCCACGATTTTTTCGCAAAAATGAAAGTGTTGATCCACCTAAATTATTATTTTATAAATAA